GTATAGTTTAAGTGGGGGAGAATTTTAACATCCTGATGTCAAGGTAATTTCGATTCTAATCCTATGTTTGAATAATATTGCATTTTAGCCCTTTGGGTTTGAAAAGATTGCAAATTGGCTAATAGTCGCAATTTAGTAATTCCGTCCAGAAGTAGTACGTTGAGCGTACGTTGTGTAAGCTAGGTGTACTAGGGCGCACCCTAGTACGTAGGCGTATACCTCGTACGCGGGGCATACGTGAAGAAAGTGCAAATCCTAAATTTTAGGGTTTGGTCCACATATAAACCCCATTATACCTCATGTCTCATTTCTTCATCAACCTCCCTCTGTAAAAAATGACCCCAAGAAAACCCTAAGTGATAAGAGTGCAGTTTGAGCCCATTGGAGTGTTTTGGAGGTGTTCTTGAAGAAGAAGAAGAAGAAGGTGGTGAGAAGAGCTTGGAGCTTGGAAGCATCTTGGATCTAGGATTTCCTTATAGTTAACAACCTCTAGGAGGTATAAAGTTTGCAACTTGATCACTCCATCTTGTAGATCTAGACATTTCTTCCTTTAAGACATTTTTTGTCCCAAAATACGGTGATTCTTGAGCATGGTATGTTCTTGACCCAATAAGTTGTCTTTTTAGAACTTATGAGGGGTCTTGAGTCATAAAAATGTGGTCTTAAGGGTTAGTTTCACTCCATGCATGCTATAGAAGGACTTAATGCATTAAGATGTTGAGAAATTGTGTCTTAAGCACTTAATGGACATGAAAAGTCATAAAGTTAGAAACTTTATGACTCTTAGTGATATTTTGGCCATGGATCTGAAAGGTTGGACGTGAGAGCTTAATGCATTAAGCTCTTATTGAGGATTTAGGAAGTCTGGGCGTACGCCCTGCGTAACCTGGAGTATGCAGCGCGTACGTGGTCAACCATCCCGACTGCAGTCAAAGCTTGAGTACGCCCCGCGTACGAAGCCTGAGTTGATTTGGATGAGTTGACTCGGATGTGTTGACTCGGTTGACTTGTTAATTTTGATTAGTTCTGACCAATGGTATGTTGGGAAAAAGTTAGTAATTTAGAATGGATAATGGTTTGGCATTTAGGATTTCGATGAGCCGGTATTTAGGAGGAGAGTATTGATTTAGAATGGATAATGGTTTGGCATTTAGGATTTCGATGAGTTGACTCACTGTACTTATAGGTCGAAGGCACCAAGGTCGACCCACTGGATTGGATATCCTGTTATATGATAGTATGTTATTATCCTATAGAGATCTGTTAGATCGATATCCTGGTATATAGGATGTTAGCATGTAGTAGTGATATGTAGATCTGCCTGTTTGCCAGTTGACTAGTTATATGTTTATCTGTAATGTGTATGTCGACATGTTATGGGTGATTGGGTTGAGGAGGTCATGCTTTGTGCTGAAGGCCAAGATACCCGGGGCAATCCGGATAGAGTGTAGGCCCTATGAGGCCGTCCAGCCAGGCCGAAGGCCAGGAGAGCGGTCCGGATAGGCTGTAGGCCCTACGAGGCGGTCCAGTCATGCCAAAGGCTCGGAGAGCGGTCCAGATAGGCTGTAGGCCCTGCGAGGCAGTCTAGTAAGGTTGAAGGCTCATTTATGCATGTTGTTTTTTGTCATGTTTATGTGGTGGTATTTTGGGGGAACTCACTAAGCTTTGACTTACATTTAGTTTATTGTTTCAGGTACTTCTGATGATCGGTGAAGGTGTGACCGTACACATCCTCTTGTTTTATAGCCTTGTGATTTTGGGATACTATGATATTGATAAACATTTTGGAAATAATGATTTTGTAAACATTTTATGATTATGGGTTGTTTTGAAAGTTTAAAATTGTTGTGATTTTTGAGCCGTTACACTCCTTGAGCAATGTCCCATTGTCCTTCTGTTGCTGAGTCAGTTGTTGCGTCAACATCTTCATCACGGAGAAGAGTTCGTTGTTGGAGATCAAAATGGAAGGATGTTGGAATCCTAAGGATCCTAGCTTCACATGATTAATGATCGGAGAAGTGCTCTTTTAAGAATCATCGAAAGTTTTCTTCTTCCCAGGAGGTCCTCTTAGAGGTGGTGGAATATTTTTTGAAGAAATGGGAGGAATAGAGGAAGAAGATAAGGTTGATTGCATAGACATGATTTCCGAGAATTATGAACACCAGGGCCCTACGGTGGGCGCTAAATTTTTTTGATCAAAAAATAATCAAGTGAATATCGGCCGAATTGAATGAGAGACCGTGGTGTTGTGGCTAATATGAGTATCAAATTAAGATCAAAATGACACAAATGGTTTACAAGGAAAACCCTTGATCATTGCTATGTTCTCCAACATAAAACCTTCGGAGGTGATAATGATAACCAGCTTTGTTTAATCTTATTAATCAAAGTGCAAGTTACAGAAAATAATTTGAGAAAATAATTTGAGAATACGATTACGGGTGTTTCAGTAGCTCTAGATGTCTAAGTCGTGTGTGTTGTGTCTTTTACAAGTGTATATATAGCCTAGTTTGAACAACTAAAAGTCTGATATTCCTAAGATCCTGTTGAACTAGTATTTACACGTTGCATCGACTTAATATTTTTGGGTGTTAAGCTTGATTGAAACGATTCTTCAGAGTTGATGAGTCATTTGTTGACTAATTCAACACACGTGAAGAATAAACAAAATATATATATCTGTTAATTTCATTAGGAAAGAAGAATAATGGTAATGGTCTAGATCGTGATGTATGTTTCGGGATCCTGAGAATCTTTTAAGATCACGAATCCTAGATAGGTTTGAGGATCTTGACACCTAACACCAAGTTTTCCTGAATTGGCACCTAAGGTCCCTATAATTGGCATGCCGGCAAAAAATACTCATATTTCGAATTCTCTTAACACTACTAGTTCCAAAAATTACAACTTAGTCCCCAGACTTATATTTTCCATATTATTATTATTATTATTATTAAGCATTAAAAAAATATAATTACATACCGGGAATCTGGAAACAAGTGTTACAATTACGTAATGGAAAAAAATCCAAAAATTCTTTTATATCACTTTGTTTTTCTTCTGGATCATAGATCTTACTACGACATTTCAATCATGGTCATAAGGTTTTCGATGCGGGCTTTAACGATAGGTCAATGTGTCTTTGGTCTTTTTTCCTAATCTAAATGGTCTTTGAAGATTACTACCACAAAAAAATATTAAAAAAACATTTTATTTACCAAAAGCTTATTATTTTCGTATTTGGCAAAAACTTTGAAGGTAATATTTGCGAAATTAGGAATTTTGCAAGTCATACCTATGAAACTGAGATTTTTTTTTGTCTTTTTGCAATTTAAAACTACAGTATCAATCTTCTTTGCTGTGGAAATGATCTTCAATTTGTTATTATTTTTTTTTCTATTCTTTGAGGTCAAACCTATTAATTTTGTTTGGTATTTTTTTTTCAAAACATCGTCATTTTGGTGACTCATGGCTATTATCGAAAAATCTTGATTTTTTTTGCATAATTCTTGAATTTTTTTGAGGATTAGCCATTTTCACTAAAATAAAACCTAAAAAATATGTTTTAATTGTATGCAAGAAAATATAAGGGGATAATGTCATAAAAAAACCTCAAGTTTGATGGAAAATGTTGGTTTTACCCTCTGACAGACTTTAGGTTCGTTTATGCTGCAAACTTATAAAAGAAAGTTCGATAGGTCCATGTGGGAATACAAAAAAGATTTGTATTGTAGTTTTAAATTGCAAAAAGATTAGACCAAATACATACTTTAAATTATAAAAATATTTTTGAAGTATATAAATACGTTTTAAATATATAAGTACCTTTAAAATGTATTTCTACATTGAAAAATATAAAAATATACGTATTTGTATTAATAATATGAAAATTTTATATTTTTATTCAAATTACGAAGAAAAAAATAAGTATTTATATTGGGAATACAAAAAAAAAATTATACTGAAAGTACAATAAAGAAATACATGTTCAATACATGAATAATTTGAAAAAATTTGTATTTATATAATATATAAGCTTTTAGATTACTACTTATATATTTTAATTTCAAGGATTTTCAACAAAAATCCATTGCTAGCCTATTGGAAAGGATGTTATGTGGTTAAGATGGAGCGTCCGGGTTCGAATCTTGGTGTTGTTTTGAAAACCGGACCGGACATCGAATATATATATTGCATGTTTAATTTCGTCTGAAAATAATCAAATATTGATACAAATTTTGAAAAAAAGAAGATAAGTTAGATAAACAATAAGATGGATGTTCAAGTTAAAAGGAAATATGGCATGGTTAAATTCGTGAAAATATTGACACAAAAATTGAAAAGAAAAGATAATTTAGAAATATAGCTGTGCACCTTTATTATTTAAATGGCTTCAATCCTTTATCTGAGTATGGGCTATCACCGAAACGAAGTGGCCTATAGTCTGGGTGTTTCCAGTTGGGAATGGCCCATGTTGTTTAGTATTTTAAAATTCGTTTTTGATTGGTTGAACCACAATGGTTTTGACCCGTTTTTGAGTTAACCGGCGATTTTTTCTGTTCTCAAAACAGGTGGTTTTTTAGGATGAATAAACCTGACTTCCAACCCGCAACCGGTTCAACCCGTAAAAATAGCAAAATCGAACTTTTTTTTACAAGTTTGCATATATCAACCTAAATTCTGTCGGAAGGTAAAACCGACATTTTCCATAAAACCTTAAGGTTTTTATAATATTATCTCAAAATATAAATTTAATATTTATTGAAACAAACAAAACCTCCATATATGAAAAAACGAAATTGACGTAACTTACAGAAAAAGAATGATAGCAATAAGAAGCTCAAATCCAGATCTTCTGCTAAAAATAAAAGCTCTTGAGGAGAAAATGGCCCATACGGGTTAATTTAGAAACCAACGGAGATTCAAAAAAAAATGAATAGCGCCTTAATCATCAAACTAGTAGGTCCACTTTAAAAACATTAAAAAAATAAAAATAAATAGTTGCATTTACAGATCTTCATTCATATCCTTAATCACAAAAGCCGATCAAAAACAGTCAATCAAACTTCTCCAGACTTCATGTTTCCTTTCATGTGAGTTGTACAGAGCTTCATTCATATCCTTAATCACTTAAATTAGCAGTCTTTTAATAAACTTTTGCTTACAAAACCCATCTAATACATATCAACACAGTAATCGTTTTACCCCAAAAAAATCAAGAAAAAAAAAACTTCCATGGGATCATCTGGAGTGTGTTGATTGATCTTCAGATCTTCCTTTATCCATAGAAGTTTCCTTTTGTTGAAAAGAGCTTTCTTTTCCTTTATCTGATGATTGTATGTGAGATTCATCAGGTATTGGAGGAGATTCTGACCATTTTTTACTCCCTTTATGCTGCTGTTTATGAGTTTTACAATCTTTGTCCACATTCTGCAGATCATCAGCTATTTGTGTTCGTTTTTCTTTCAGAAAATTGAGTCGGTTTGTTATTTTGGACAAAGCTGAAGTTGTATTAGCTGCCTGTCAAACACATACAAACATGTTTAAATTCAGTCACTGAGTATTATCTGAAACTTAATTTTAGAGAGAAAAATATATAAAATATGTACCTCGGCTTTTGAAGGGGGCCTTCTGGAGCTTGTACACTTGCTTATACTCCGTTCAGGATGCTTACTTGAAAATGAATGAAATGGATTTTTATCAACGTGTTCCTTGCTAGAATGTGTCTCCTGTTACAAACAAATTAAACAAAAAATTTATAGGGTTATTTTCGATGTCACCTTTTATGGTAGGGCAAAAAATTGGAGTTTGTGTCCCATTGGGATGAGTCTCGGTTCAAGTTTAATGTAGACAAATGGGTAACAAATGGGGCCTAATTAGATATGCTGCTAGTATTGTTACCTTCCTCCTATGGGAAGTAGTTTTAGATAAACGATCCTTCTCTTTATCTTTTCTGTAACCAAAAAAAGTTAGGTGTATGTGAAAACAAATTTGATACTTTCACAATAACTAAAAGATATCTAATATTTGATACTAGTACCAGTAACAATAACATAGTGAAAGTGACAGTCACAGAGACTGTGACTGTGACTTTGACCATAACCGTGACATGTGAGCATATAATAAAAAGTTGTAACATAAAGACAGTGACAATGACAACGACAATGACATAATGAAAGTGACAGTGTGACAGTGACAGTGACAGTGACAGTGACAATGAGAATGACAGTGACAGTGACAGTGACGATGATAGGTGAGCATATGATAAAAAGTTGTAACACATAAACAGTGACGGTGACAAGTGAACATATGAACATATGATGAAAAGTTTTTAAAAAAAAAAAGTAAGGAACTAGAGATTACACTTTTCCAAGATCAGGAGAAAGTGGTTGGGAACCAGACCTTTGTTCTCGAGGTTGATTTTGTAATCCAGAATCATCAGCCACTACCTGATGGGTATCGTCTGGATCTGCATTTGTCTTTAGAACATCTAGAAGTTAATGATATAAGGAAAATTTACAACTAATAAACAAGAGAGTACTAAGAAAATAAACTTTTACATCAACAGAAGATTGTATAGCTCCTTGTGACGCTTTCTCCTTCTGCAACTCTTCCTCTAATCTTGACACCTATCAAAACAATTGAAGAGATGTTAAGAAGTAACAAAATTTAAGCTAATAGATATTCATTGACAAAACTGCAAAAATGGTCCAATGGTTTGCATTTTAGGTAAATAAAATTTTGTTATATGTATATAATGTTTCAGATGAAAATATAGAAGAGAAGAGATTTTCAATCATAAATCAGGTAAATACCCCTTCTGCTAAAGAGACACGGCGCGCCTCTAAAGAATTCTTCTTTTTCACCAAATCTTCTTTCAAAACTGTATTTCTTTTGGCCTGCAATCAAAAAATAAAAACGTACAAAAAATTAGTGTCAATATCAGCTTTTTTTTTTTTTTTTTTTTTTTTTTTTTTTTTTTAAATTAATCTTGGTTGAAGAGTGATCGAGAATATGAAAGTCACTACCTCTGCTTCAATTCTCTCTTTCAATTTAATTTTGGCAGCCTCAAGCCTCAAAATTTCAGCTCTAATTAGCGATAGAATTTAGAAAGTCAATAAATCATGGTTAGTACAAACATTTAATATTAGAACACTCAAGTCTTGATTATTATGCTGATCATAAAAGTGTTTGCTTACTGTTGTTCGGTTACTAAATCAATGCTTTCCAAGGGTGATCCCTTCTTTATCTGCATTATATAAATATTAAACGCTATTAACATGCAAACACTAAATGACAAAAAAAATTACAACTTTTGTCTTATCAACATTTACGTTAGTTCGTTTGGGTTTCTTGATAATGAACTCTTCATCCTCTAAAAGACTATCTTCTACATCATCAGTAGCTTCATTGGAAACAGAATTTGAGCTACCAGAACCCTACAATGTATTAAAACATTCCATAAATCAATGGTCGAGAGTATAATTTTCTTTTTCATCTCCAAGAAGGAAAAAATTAGTCAAAAATCCAACCTTGCTGTGATCATCATCTCCACTCTCACTATAACTAACACTCTCGGAATCTTCATATGAACAAGAACGCTCGGATCTATTTTCAACATCCACATCCTCATCATCTTCATCCTCTTCATAATACTCATCACTAACCTCTTCACTCTCACTTCCATATTCATCTGAATCCGAGTATAGATCACTTAACATGTCTTCTTCCTGCAAATACCTCTAATTTATATAAACATCATAGATCAATGTTGACAAATAAAAAGAATATTTAAAGGGTACCCCGAATATTTTATCGTATTCCTCTATGAGGATGATAACAATTGCTTGAGCATGATTGGCGGCTGCAGCCGCCTGTAGAAGTTGAACAGACCCATCGCCGCCCATGTCCGGTCCCTTTCCGAGGTCAACTTCACCGGCCAAAAGCGGTCGAAGAAGTAATGGTGACATACAGGCGGCAACTGCCGAAACACTCATTCGGTTCACCGTCTTGTTTTCAGCAACAGCTTCCATCATTATCAATATCCTGCACAATTTATTTACAAATTATTGTAACTAGGTTGATGTGACGTGTGGTGGGGGGGGGGGGGGGGGGGGGGTGCAATAGTGATTTTTTGAAATGTAAGATAAGTAATATGGCAAAACTTCAAAAGTAAGAGGGGCTAAGCTGCCACAATATATAAGTCATGTGGCAAAACTTCAAAAGTAAAAAACTACACTGTTCCTAAGCACTTTCTTTTTAATATAACTAGAAATTTCCACACCCCCGCTTCGTGGGGGACGCAGGCAAGGTTTCACCGAGGGGTGCAAATTGCGTAACTAAAAAGTGTAAGGACCAAACCTGCAAATATACAAAAGTCATGTGGCCAAAGTGTGAAAACAAAAAACTATAGAGACGAACATGGCAATATATTGCGGGAGGAGTAAATTGCAAATTTTCTATTAAGTACAGACTATTTTTGTAATTATTTTTAAACATATAGATCATTTCTGTAAAAATATGCACAATATATTTTCTGTAAATTACGGGGACAATTTTTGTAACTTATTTTCTACATAGGGACCAAATCTGACAAAATGCAAAAATCTTAAACATAGGGCTGTTTTTGTAACAAGTTGTAGGGACCAACAAATATATTGCAGGGGAGTAAATTGCAAATTTTCTATTACATACGGACTATTTTTGTAATTTTTTAAACATATAGACCGTTTCTATAAAAAATGTATAATGATATTTTCTATAAATTAAGGGGACACTATTTATAATTTATTTTCTACATATAAGTCAAACCTGATAACATACGAAAATCTTAAAAATAGTGGCTGTTTATATTATTTATATATATATATATATATATATATATAATATATATATATATATATATATATATATATATATATATATATATATAGAAAGGAATAAATTTGTCAATATCTAAAAACCCTATGGCAAAACTCCCAAATAAAAAGGTCTAGCAGCAAAAGTCTAAGGTTGCATTTAGTTACGGAAAAACAATTTTCATTTTCTGTTTTTCATTTTCCCTTTTCAGTTTTTGTTTTTCGTTTCAGTTTTCATTGAAAAATTTAGAAAACGCGTTTAGTTAAAACTTATTCATTTTTCATTTTCAGTTTTAGAAAATTAGAAAACGCGTTTAGATGTGTATATTTCTATCGGTTTTCATTTTTAGAAAACGGTAGCGGTGGTAGGGTGTGGGTGGGGGTGGGGGCAGCGGCGGGGGGCAGTTGGTGGTGTTGGCGGCGGTGGTGGTGGTGATTGCTGTGGCAGCGGTGATGCTGGTGATGGGGTAGTGGTGGTGGTGATGGTGATGGTAGGTCGGTGATTGTGGTAGTGGTGTTGGGTGTGTGTGTGTGTGTTTGTGGGTGTGTGTGTGTGTGTGTGTGTGTTTGTGGGTGTGTGTGTGTGTGTGTGTTTGTGGGTGTGTGTGTGTGTGTTATGGGGGTGGGTGTGGGTGTTTGTGTGTGTGTGTGTTGGGGGGTGGGGGGGGGGGGGGGTGGGGGGGTGGGTGGGTGTTTGTGTGTGTGTGGGTTGGGGTGGGTGTATATTTGTGGGGGTGGGTGTGTGTGTGTATGTGTGTTTGTGGGTGTGGGTGTGGCTGTGTGTGTATGTTTGTGGGTGTGTGTTTGTGGTTATGTGTATGTGTGTGTGAGGGGGGGGGGGGTGGGGTGTGTGGGTGGGCTTGGGAGTGGGTGGGTGTGGGTTGAGGGTGTTAAGGTGGGGGTAGGTAGAGGTGGGAGTAAATGTATGTTAATATTTTAGAAATATTTTGGAATTAGAAAAATATGGAAAACAATAATTATTAGTTTTCCAAAAAATTTCAATTCTTTGTAATTTTAGAAAACGGAAAATTTTCATTTTCCGTGAAAAATTTAGAAAAATAAACGAACTAAACGCGTTTTCAAAATTCTCATTTTTCTTGGAAATTTTTTCCGAAAAACAGCTCGTTTTTCCGCAACTAAACGCACCCTAAACCTCCGGAAGAATACTGTTCATAAGTACTTTCAAATCAAAATATAGTATAATTTTATATCGATGAAGTAATTTGGAATTGTATTGTTAATTACCTTTGTAATAACCGACGATTTGGTTCTGGGAATGTGTCACAAATGGCTGCACGAATGGCACCGACTTTAGTGGCTCGATCAGTTCCTAACCATAACCACAAGAAAACAACTTCATAATTATACTTTACATTTCCTTTTAGGTAATTAAGTATCAAGAAAATAACTATAAAAAGTTATTTTTAGCAAAAAAAAACCATTTGGACCAGAAAAAATATTTTTAACAAAAATAACCATTTGGTCCAGAATAAAACAATATCCGTACCAAACAAAAACTCTTTTCTGACAAAGAAATACATTTCTAACTGAATTCTGAACCAACATTCAAGATTCCAGACTAAAATTTTGGATTTCAAAAAAAAAAAAAAAAAAAAAACTTCGGAATTTCAAAAACATGTCTAAAATCCGATTAACAACTTCAAAATTTCGAGAAAAAACTTTGTTTTTTTTTACTTAAATCTGACAAAATATTAAACAAACATATTAATGTGAACTATATATGATTTAATGCATAAAATTAAACATTTTATTGAAAAACGGTAACATTAAACACTTTGAAATATAAATTTTGGACATAAGTAGAGATATTTTCTTTCAAAAAAGAAATTGGAAAAAAATAAAAAAAATAACTACGAAATTTGAAGATCAAATCCAAAATGGCACATTAGGAATCCCAAAAAAAAACTTATTGAATAAAGAACAAAAAAAACTCTGGAATATGAACAGTACTCCAAAATAAGGGCATTCTGGAGAAAGTTCTTATTTTTCAAAAAAATAAAAAAAAATTGGTTATTTTCTTTGAAAAAACCCTTTTATAATGATTAGGTTACTTAATTTCCCTTTCTTTTTCTATTATAGCATTGTACTTTATATTTTTTCTTAATAGTTAATCGTAATTTGAGGATGATCTACTCATCTACATTAGTGAAATAAGCTTTGTGTTTAATTGTATAGTTTTTTCAAAGTATGTTGCTATTTCTTGCATTTAACCGTTGTAAATATACAATGAGAAATCTTGAGAAATCTTACGATATGCTTCTAATAAAGCAGCACAGCAAGATGCCGGGACTGGTGGTGATGGCATCTCACGGAGTACATACTGAAACAGCATGGTAAAAAATTAACCATAGTTACAGTTTTACAAAATTAAATAAGAAATAGAAAGTAGAATAATAATATAAATAAAAGTTAATTTACATAATTGCCATACCTTTATACAATCGCCTATAACATGTCCATCCTCATCTGCAGTAAACTCCATTTTTCCTGTAACAAATTTGAGAAAATGACTGGCATGAAAAAATAAATAACAAAAAACTTTGTCAAAAGTTTGTACTTTGCCTTTCTTTCTACACTATGAAAAAAAAATAGCTTCCTAGATTATGTCACTCACCTTGTTCATATTCTCGAATGCGATGCTCAACATCATCAACATCTGCAGCTTGTCGCAAGATTCCTTCTACATTGACACCTGGCATCATGCAAAAAAGGACAAATTAATAAATCAACTTAACTGAAAAATATTAGTTTTAGAAAAAATACAATCATAAAAAGGATATATAGATTGTTCTCACCAAAGTCTTCTACGTAACAAAGTGCTTTCTCTAAGAAAGATGGAGTTCCATCTATATCTTCCAATGCAAGTAAGATGGGTCGACCTAGTACGATTGATTTTGTTTTTTCGTCTTTTGCTGTTGGATATATAAATAATTAAAAAAAAGCATAAACATTTGTATATATATGTTTCTACAATTATTATTCTTGCAACGTTTTCAAATACACAACCCTTGAGCTGGCCCACATTGTAAATCAGGTATTAAGTGACCTGTATAAAGAGAATCTTACACTGTTCCTGAGAACCATCATGGGTATCACCCTTTTCATTTTTTGGTGTCCCATTTTGTCCTTGCTCTATCCCTGCACTAGGTGCATTAGACAAAGCTGCTTCCAATGCATCTTTCCACTCAAATAAATCCTCGGAAGTTTCGGCCTAGAATTAAAAAAAAAAAAGTTGAAGTGATTTATGACATTAGAAGTCCCTATATGTTTAAAAGGGGTTCAAGTACATAAGTATTAATGTCATAAATGCGTAACGAACTATTTTTGTTTTTTTACAGCACCAAACTATTTGTTTTTGTTCACAAAATATCATTTAAAGACATTCAAATAACGGTATTTTGTGAACACGGAGCTTTGGTTGATTATTTTCTAATATAGTATTTTTTTTAAACAATGGTAATTTGAAAAAAAAAACAAATAGTTACCTTTACCCATTTGCCACATTAACCCTTAATGTAACGAGTAATATCATTAAAGAAAAATAAAAACCTTGAGAGTAAAAGCTCTTCCATCACCACCATCAGGGAATAGCACTGTCAATAGTTTCTTGTCTGCTTTCAAAACAACACTGAAACATGAAAAGGCAAATAAGACTCGGTGTAAGTAGTCTGATGTCAATTGGACAAAAATTTACAGGCTTTTATTAAGGTGATTTGATGGGTGTAATAAATGCTGGCCAACCTGCCTGAACTGTTGAGGTCTATGCCACCAAGGGTCAGATTCGAATCCCCCGCCTTTTGAGGTGATGCATTCTGAATATTAACAAAACAGTTAATGGATGAATTTCTGATATTACAAAAGTATAAACGTATGCAACTTACTGGATCACTTCGGAAGAAGACCAATGATGTTTCGGTTAATATAAACCACCTTTTCTTCCAAGAAGTCCAGCCAATCCCTGCATAAGATGTGTAAAATGGATAATTAAACTTGCATAATCAATAATATATATGAAACAACAGTGGTCAAAAATAAAAGAGAAGTAGCACTGTATTTTTATTGAATAATTTATCATATGATGCTACTTTCATTTCTTCTTATTAGAGCATTCTAGGTAGAAAAAATCTAACAATTATATTGATATCATCTAAATGCAACAACATTTTTCACTAACTATAGTTGGATATAATTTTCAAAGTTGAAAAAGGGTGTAAGCATAATGCTATAAATTGATCGATTTTTCAAAGTACAACACATTGATAGAAGAAAAAATGAAAGTACCGTGTTCTAATAAAAGGCAATGAAAGTAGGTTGGTATGATAGAAAAATAGATTAAGTGCATTGATATTGCTTGCATTTAGCTTTAAATAGGAATGTTTAATGTCCCCACAACAAGAAAGATCATGTCACTGATTGAACCTGAAACCTTATTCATGGATTTCACTTTTTTACTACTAGAACAAGTATGGTGGAAAAGATGATGATGATGAAAAAGTAAACACATGAAAGAAAAGTGCGACACTTATAATACTTAAGTACAAAAGAGATAATAATATCAGACCTTTTGATGACAAAAATAACGGGCCACTCTTGTAAACCTGCAAACCATCAATTAATTCATTTGTTTAAACATAACCAACCTAGTTTTCCAATTTTAAAGTCACAATAAATATTTCAAATGAGAAAATTAGAAGTCTTAATACTATTTTTTTTTTCAATTTCTGAAACATGGTGATAAGTAACAAATAAAATACATGCCTTGTTGCCATTATGAGATGGTTGTCTCTCCGGCTGTTCAGAACCTGCAGGAACAGGTGGCAGATTATCACCGCCACCATCTCCCTAGATAAACATGGAAAATGACTTATTATTGCAATATTATTTCAGAACAATATTAATAAAAAAAATATGATCATGCATTATATACTCGAAATGAACAAGTATTTGATAATATTGAAGATAAATTATACCGGAGGATGTGGATCAACATTGATTTTGGAATCATGGTGGTTTTTAAAATCGGCATAGTTTTCCTTCGAATCAAGTCTGTTCATTTTCGAATTTGTTTTACGAATCAACGTTATGAGTTTTGGTATTAGGCATTAATCCATCCGAAATTGCATCCGACGATATCTATTTTCATTCAAATTAAACCAGTCGCCTGCATTTCAACCACAACGATAATTAAACAATCAATTATCATCCGGATCACAAAAACGATGATACAAATCAAATGTGTTGAAGAATCAAGGCAATAGTTGTACAGACAAGATATAAAAGAAAAACATAGCAGAAACATGTACCCTTATTGAAGAAATTATAGACTTTTACAAGAAATTTGGGAGATGATGGGAATGGGAAAGGGTGAAAAGAGGAAGGAGATTTGGATTTTCTAATGGAAACCGGATGGTCAAGCAAAAATTGGGACCTCGTAATCATTTCTTCCCAATTTTAAGGGTTCATTTTCTTATTCCACGTTGATTTTACACATTACATGCACCCCCCTATAAGACTCTTTTTAATCTGTAGGTTGTCAAGATCTTAATTTTACATATGATCGCATGGGATCCTAAAATCCCACAAAACATTACATAAAAAGATAACTATCACATTTTTTTGGTATATCACTGTTAAATAGTTCAAAAAAGAAAAGTAATTAGTCATGTAGTGGTTAATGACATGGTTAAATACTTAAATCGCTAAAATAATTATTAATACTAATTATTTTTCATACAAAAATAGCAACTCACAACCTTCATGTTATTTGCTTTAACTATAAAAGAAAATCAATAACAATTTCAACTTTTGAAACTCAATTAAAAACTACAAATTTTCAAGTTTTCAAGGAAAATGCTTGAACAGTAAAAGGAAATAAACTGGAAAAAAGACTCGTCTTTATTGTTGAGCTTTTAGTTGAAGGAAGAAACTAATTTACAAGTTAATGCTAAATCTAAAATTCTACCATCGATCAGGGTAAAATGTAAAAGAAAAAAAATTATCGTTGTTGGTCATTTACGGTTCAAAAAACGGTACAAGAATAGGGTTATTCTCAATTGTACATTAGGTAACGAGACCACGTCAATCAGTAAATGGGTAAAGATAATAAAAATCGGATCAAAATTTAGCAATTTTCATGGAATGGTAGGATCAGATCGGATCTCGATTTTACGATCCCGATCCCGATCCCGATCCTACGATCATATCTGCAATCTTACATATAAAACGATCACATTGCGATCCAGGAAGGTTTTTATAGGTAGGATCGTAGGATATTACGATCTTACGATCAAGATCCCGATCTTAACAACCTTGTTCAACACTAATGTTTAAAGCAATTTGCGAAAAATGTAGTTTGTTTATTTTTGTCAAAAGTCATGGTGTTTATCAAGCGACATATACCTCACAAACCGATTACACTACATCATACCACACCTTACGGTTTAATTTTTTTTTATAGTACGGTTTGCAGTTTATAATTACAAAACTATGTTTCAAACCTCACCGACTATACATGAGTGGACTTAATAAAACTGTCTACACCACATCATACCACATCTTTCAATTTAAAATTTGTATAGTGTTGTTTGCAGTTTATAATTACAAAACCATGTTTCAAACCATAAAAACCGCCTCTATCACCCCGTTTATTAAATAAATAAATAGACAAATTAATAAATGAATAGTAACCCTAAATGCGGAATAGTGTGGCAAAGAGTTAGCTTGGCTGTCATCGCAAACCGCCGCTGCTGCCCGCCATCTCGCGCCATCGTCACCGCCGTACACCACCAGGTGGGTGGCTAGGTCCATTTTCCAAACTGAAACATATGTGTGTGTTTATTACAGTGATGTGGTGTTTGGGTGTTGCTTGGCCGGATTTCACAAGAGAAGCCACCACCACCACCGTGAGGTGGTGGCTGCCACCTTGTACCACCGTCGGCCACCACAAGAGTGGTTGTGTGTGATTGTATGTGTGTGTTGTATTGTGTGTGTGTTAGTTTGGATATTGTTATACAATTGTAAATAGTGGCCGAAATAATCAATGAAATTCATAGCCACCACCATGAGGTGGTGGCCGCTGCCGTGAGCCGCCATTGACCACCACTACCCGAGGTGGTAGGGGGTGGTGCCTAACTTAATTAATAATTAATTAATCAAAAGCTTAACAAATGGATTAATTGGAACATGATTGGGTTGGAAACCCTAATTAGGGTTTAGAAAACCTTAATTTGGCTTAGGCCTTGAGTTGGGCCTTTCTAATGGGCTTTGGTGATTGGGCTACTGATAGGCCATCCAAGAAAAAGCATATGGACTAGAATATTTGGATGGGCTTTAGGGTAAGGCACATGTGAGGGGTTTGGCCCCAATTTGGAAAATTGGGCCATAGATGGGCCATATTTGGGCCTTGCTGATATGAGATATTGGACCATCAGAATGCCAAGTGTTGGACCAAGAATAAATGGCTAGGCCACAAAGTGAGACCATGTAGAGGATTGGGCCCAATTTGGAAAATTGGGCCATATATTGGGTTTTGGTTCATAGTTTGTGTTGGATAAAGTGTCTAAGTCTGTAACTATATTTGATATGTACTTGACCCGACCCGGCATTGTCCGTTTGGGTTGGATTTCACCGAAACAATTTGTATGGATAATCTTTTGAGAATAGTATATTTATGATTTATTAATATATTATAAGTTATAATATATTAATATGAAATCATATTATTTAATTAGTATTGATCAAGAATTAATTTGGAATTAATTTAGTGATAAAAAAGAAACTAATTAAATATGGACTCTTATATATATAGAATGGGCCAAAGTTCATTTAGGATGGGCTAAGCTTGCATGGATAGTCCATGGAGTTTTTAACCCATGGATCCTATGGAAATGAAAGGTCATGGGTATTTGGGTTTACATGGAAGTAACCCTAATCCACCATACTATATAAAGAGGTCTTTGGCACATGAAATGGCACTAGAGTGTGTGATGGAGAAGGTGGGCCGATTTCTAGTGTGCATTACTATTCTGTCAAATTTTTCCAAGTTCTATGGTGATTTGTGATTCCACTTGAGGCATCCACATTATTGGTGGTAGGCTCTCAAAACTCCAAACAATCAACCACAAGAAAAAGGTATGTCATTCTACTAAGTTTTATATTACAAGTACCCTAAGACATGCTAGTTAGGATGTGAACCTTGGAAAAATCAAATTTGCATGTATATTAGAGAAAACATAGATCCAAGGTTTCTAGGGTTGCATGTACACCATAGGAGTGTTAGAATGCTCAAAACCCTTCAGTGGTATCAGAGCCTAGGCTTTTTTCATTATACTTGATGCAAATTGCTTGAAAAAGTCGAAAGTGTGCTCACTGTTCAGTGGACTCGCCGAGTCCATGGGGGGACTCGACGAGTCCAAGGGAAAGTTCATCCTACTCGTCGAGTAGGAGGCCCTGTGTGCAGATTTTCGAGTTTTGTTGCTGGAATTGGACTAGAATCATTACCATAAACTGTTTTGGACTTCTAAATCTGTTTTCGATGTGGTAATGATTATGCTAATCCAATTTTAATGATATTATCAAAGTTTCAAGTTTTATACGTGTATATGATTCTTGAAAGTTGTTGATATGAATGTTCATGCTTATGAGTTTTAGTAGATCATAGGAATTATTTGCAAATTGTTTGTTAGTGTAATTCTTGATCTAAATGCCAATTAATGGACTCCATAACTTGTCCTCAAGTTATGGAATTCCAAAAGTATTTTCTTTAAAACCATTAAAATTCATAAGTTATAGAAATGAAAAGTTGTTGAATAGTTTCAAAACTTGCCCTCAAGTTTTGGAATTTGTAAAGTCTCACACACACTTTAATTCCAAACCCTAGAATTTTAAAAAGTTTAAAATTCAACGCTTATACTTTATAATATTATAAGTTAATAATATATATATATATATATATATATATATATATATATATATATATATATATATATATATATATATATAAGATCAAGTCAGTCTTACCGTTAGCAGACCTCATTCACGAAGCCGGTCTATAAGGGGGTATAAGGTTATTGCCTATAAAATGGCAGCTTAATGGGTGTCCACTCTCACCCACCGCTTCCTTGACTGGTGGAGGTTCGTTAGCCGAACGGGTAGGACAAGGACTATAATTCTCATTAAAAGTATAATGATGATGATAACGTAACTAAATCTTTTATAAATTCCCAATCTTAGTTACTTTAGGAAAATGTGAATGTGGTGCTAACCCATGAAATTACACTTTGTACCTTACCAAGTCGTTGGTGGAGCGTGTGTGGTTAACCGACACACTAACTTGAACTAGTAAGAGTGGCAAAGGGTAACTTAACGTTTATCATAGATCGGTGGAGCGCGTGTGGTTAACCGGCACATCGATTATGTGATAAAGTTAAGGGTACGAAGTTAACTTGCATGGTTATTCACACCTTGTTTGTGATCCTCGGCATCCCAGTCACAAACTTGAGAGGGCACAATCGAGATTTAAACATGCCATTGAAAAGTTCAATGCATCTCAAAAGATCTAGGAGTTTCAATCCGATTAAAACCTAATACCTATTTTGTTTTTCATGGTGGAAATTGGTGAATCGTCATTCGCCTACCTTCAAATATTGTATAGCTTGGATTACGACATCCCTCTTCCAAGTTATAAAGTATTGTGTTGGGTCCTAGCCTTAATATTACATTTGGGTGTTTTATTAAGGACTCTTTATCTAATCTAAACTTGTCTTTCTTCTTTTCAGATGTCTTCCAACAATGGTTCTGGCTTAAACCCTACCGGCTCCTTCTCTCTCATGAATCTTTGCGGGAGAGTCATCTTTGATGGTTCCAACTTTAATGATTGGATCAGGAACATCAGGATGGTCACACGTTATGAGGACAAGGAATATTTCCTCGACAAGGAGTTGAAAGAAATTGATGAGTCTTCCGCTACTCCACATGAGATCTTTGACTTTAGGACTCATGAGAGAGATGCCATCAAGGTGGCATGTATTATGTTGGCCACAATGACAGCTGAACTCCAAAAGTCCTACGAGAACTTTTACCCTTTTGAGATGTACATGGACATGATCGACAGATACCATCAGAGTGCTCTTCAAGAGAGGTATGAAATCATCTCTTCCATGATAACAACTCGAATGAAGGATGGTGAACCCATCACGGGCCACATGCAGAAAATGAAAAGGTTTGTGGACTGTTTACTAAAGTTGATTGTGAACTTCCCTGAGGAGTTGGCTATTGACATCATACTGCACTCCTTACCTACTTGTTATGATCAGTTCCGAAAGACCTATCATATGAACAAGGAGGAGGTCACACTCAATAAGCTTCAAGGACTTTTGAAGACCACCGAAAGTGGTCTCAAAGGTAAATTTGTTGTTACTACTCCTACTCCTAACACCGCCCCTGTTCTCGCAATCGGGCAAGGTAAAGGG